TGATTCTATGAATTTCTTTATTCCATCCTTAATTTCTTCTATAACCCAGTAGTTTTTGAGCAAGGTGTTGTTCAGTTTCCATGTGTTTGATTTTTTTTCCTTTTTCTATTGTTGATTTCTACTTTTATGGCTCTATGGTGAGAAAAGATGCTTTGGAGTTTGTTAATGCTTGCTTTATGGCCTAATATGTGGTCTATTCTGGAGAATGTTCCACATGCATTGGAAAAGAAAGTATACTTGGCTGCTATTGGCTGGAGTGTTCGGTATATGTCTGTGAGATCAAGTTGGTTGATTGTAGCATTTAGCTCTTCCATGTGTTTGTTGAGCTTCTTTCTGGATGTTCTGTCCTTCGATGAAAGTGGTGTGTTGAAGTCTTCTATTACTATTGTGGAGCTGTCTGTGTCTCTATTCAGTGCAGTTAGAGTTTGTTTTATGTATTTTGGAACCCTGTCGTTGGATGTGTAAATATTTATTGTAGTTATGTCCTCCTGGTGTATTGCCCCTTAAACATTATATAGTGTCCTTCTGTATCCTTTGTGGTGGATTTCACTTTAAAGTCTGTTTTGTCAGAGATTAATCCTGCCACTCCTGCTCTTTTTTGAGTGTTGTTTGCTTGATAAATTTTTCTCCATCCTTTTAGTTTGTTTGTGTCTTTAAGTCTAAGGTGTGTCTCTTGTAGGCAACACATAGATGGATCGTGTTTTTTTATGCAATCTGCCACTCTGTCTCTTTACTAGTGCATTTACTCCATTTAAATTCAGCGTAATTATTGATAGGTATGGTTTAGTGTTGTCATTTTGATGTCTTTTTTTGTGTTTTGTTCACAGTTTCTTTATTCTACTTAATTTTCTGTGCTGCATCATTTTTCTTTATGTATTTTCTTTTCATCTTTTTCATTGTTGTTGATTTTGTATTTGCTGAGTCTTTATATTTTTCTAGTTTTTTATTTTTACTTGTAGGATTGTTAGTTTCCTTTGTGGTTACCTTAATATTTACCCATTTTTCTAAGTTTATACCAGTCTTTAATTTCTGTATATTGCCTTGACTTCTTCTCCATATGCAAAGTCTATGTCTACATTTTTTTAAGTTCCTCTTTTTTGTTTTTTTATGTTGTCATCTTTTACATATTGACATCTGTTTCCCTATTTTCGGTGTTTTAGCTTTGATTTACTTTTGTGACTTCTCTATCTGGTTGCTATCTGGTTTCTCTGTCCTGTGTTCCAGTCTTGGGTTGTTATCGGATGTTACTGATTTTCTAACCGGAGGACTCCCTTTAGTATTTCTTGTAATTTTGGTTTGGTTTTTGCAAATTCCCTAAACTTGTGTTTATCTGGAAATGCCCTAATTTCGCCCTCATATTTGAGAGACAGTTTTGCTGGATATATAATTCTTGGCTGGCAGTTTTTTTTCCTTCAGTGCTTTATATATGTCATCCCATTGCCTTCTTGCCTGCATCATTTCTGCTGATTAGTCCGAGCTTATTCTTGTTGACTCTCCTTTCTAGATGACTTTTCGTTTATCTCTGGCTGCTCTTAAAATTCTCCCATTATCTTTGGTTTAATATGTCTTGGTGACTTTCTTTTGGGATCTACCTTATGTGGGGTTCGATGAACATCTTGGATAGATAACTTGTCATCTTTCATGATATCAGGGAAGTTTTCTTCGAACAAATCTTCAACAATTCTCTCTGTATTTTCTGTTATTTCCCCCTCTTCTGGTACTCCAATCACTCGTAGCCCATTCCTCTTGATAGAGTCCCACATAATTCTTAGGGTTTCTTCATTCTTTTTAATCCTTTTATCTGATTTTTCCTCAAGTAAGTTGGTGTCAAGTCTTTATCTTTAATCTCACTAATTCTGACTTCCATTGCCTCAATTCTGCTCCTGTGACTTTTATTGAGTTGTCTAATTCTGAAATTTTATCGTTAATCTTCTGAATTTCTGATTGCTGTCTCTCTGTGGATTCTTGCAGCATGTTAAATTTGTCATTATGCTCTTCTCTAATCTTTTTGATTTCTTCTATTGCGTGTTCTGCATTTTGATTAATTTCCTTCTTAATTTCTTGAAGAGTTCTGTATATTAATCTTTTGTAATCTGCCTCTGGTAATTCCAAGAACTTTTCCTCCTCTGGAAAATTTCTAGATTTTTTATTTTGGGAGGTTGCTGAAGCCATCATGGATTGCCTCTTTATGTGATTTGATACTGACTGTGGTCTCCAAGCCATCAATAAGTTATTATATTTATGTTTTCTTACTGTGTCCTAGCTTCTTGTTTTCTTTTGATATGCCCAAATAGGCTGCTCATATGACCTAGTTTGATTATTGGCACCTTTGAAGCTGTAAATGTCCTGTCACCAGGTGGTTAGGTGTGTTACTAGGTATGTGAACTCAGGAGTCCGCCCACTCCTCCTGTATGGATTCAGCTCAGGTTCCTAGGTCGATAGCAATCAAGTGTGTGTTGTACGCTCTCACTTACAGTCCTAGACAGGCTTGGGTGATTGGTGTAGGCACAGGCTTCTGGCTGCAGCAGGGGAACTCACTCTGAGCAAGGCAGGGGGCTGACAGCCACCCCCGAGTGTCCAGGAGGAAGATGTGTCCCTGTTCCCTAGAGCGTGTAGGTGATTTGGTTTTGCATCCAGACTGAGTATCTAATGCTATTGGCTTTAAGGACTACGGGGCACCTCTTATTCATGGACCCCTATTGCAGGTGGCTAGGTGGCGTGGGTGGAGGCAGCATTCCTCAGGACCATGATGTGGGTAGGTGAAGTCCGTGCTTAATGGGCAGAGCAGTGTCAAATATCAAGAACCTGCCACTTCACAGCTGAAACAGTTGAAGTTAAACTTCCAGTATATACCCTGTTGTACTGCGATAATGAGGGCCTATGCTGTTGAGATCGGCCCACACGTTTATGCAGGGGGAGAGGCACTCAAAGTTCCTGGATCCCTTATGCCTCTGCCTAGGCAAAGGAGTTGTGCCTACCCTGGGTTCCTAGATTAGGGGAGCCGGCAGTTTATTTTTTCCCGTTTGTTAATTTGTTCACTCTCCAAGGCAGGGAGAATGGTTCTGGGCGTGTGACGGATCCTGCTTCCGGCCCAGGGGACTCCGCAATTGCTGAAGCCCGTTCGGGACTCAGTCCAGAGCAGGGAGTGGGGAGGTAAATGGGAGAGAGGTTTTTTCTTAAGGGGGATGTTTTTGATGCGCATGGTAAGCCGTACGCAAGTACTTATCTTTCACCGATGAGGGCTGCTTCTCACTTGTTCCGGGTGGACTCTCTGGCGCTGGTTCTCCCAGTGCGGAAAACACGCCTCCCGAATACCGCTGCTTGCCTGCGTCACTGCTCAGCCACTACCTTCTCGGGCCTGAACGGTTGAGGTTCTCTCCGGGTCAGGTCTGGCAACTCCTTGCTGCTTCCAAATCGTCTCTCCCTCCCCCTGCCAGTCAGTCCATTTCCTCAACTCTGCCTTTGATGTTTAGGGCTCCCAGTTTGCCGTATGTTATCGAATCACTTGTTTTTTTGGGTCTTTTTTGTAAGAGTCCACTAGAAGCATCTGACTACTCCACCATCTGGGCCCCACCTCCTAATGATAGCATTAATGTTAACTTTCATTGTGTCTTTATTATACTTTGGCATGTAGAATTTACAGCATTTTTGAAAACTATTTAAGATGTACAGCTGTTCCACTTGGATAAAATATAGGCTTTTACGAATTTTTGATATATGATCTCATGATGTTCTAGTACATTTTAAAGCCAGAAGTACCTTGCTACCTGAACATATAAAAAGTTTTGGCATAGTATAACTCTGAAAAAAATTTTTGTTTATGTATTCTTATAGTAAAGTATTTTTAATGTAACAGAAATTGCATATGATACTTTGTAGGGGCTGGGGTTTCTATTTTGTTTTTCTTATATCTTGATTCCTCCCACATGTTTTTCTTGTTTTTAAGGGTTTTTCTTATCTTTTCTCTGTTGCTTAAGTTCGTGACACCATATTATTGGGGGTAATGTCTTAACTGTTTTCAAAAAAGGAAGTGATTAATTTTGGAATAAAGACAGTTTTGACCTTTACCTAGTAGAAGTGGTTTAAAAATATTAAATTTGAAACTTGTTGCTCAGTTTTGAGGTCATCTCAACCTCCCAGTTCTCTAAAATGTGTTAGTTAGGATAGCTGGGAATGATGCATATTTGACAGTAAAGGCAAATTTTACCTGTTCTTGGGGTTAAAATTCTGTAAATGAAATGATTAAAGTCCTCAAATTTGATTATCAAATTTCCTTGAGGAAATTTAGTACACCAAAAAATGGAAACTAAAACATTTGTAAATCTTTTCAATGAAATACTTACACATTTATCAGGAGATAAAGTACTATGGAATAATGTCTGGTAGATTCAAGTGTCTTTTTTTGGGCTTAAAGTGTGTTAACTTACTATATTTGATTTTTAAATAGACACCAAATCCAACTGCAAGCGAGTTTATTCCTAAAGGAGGATCAACCTCCAGGCTGAGTAACGTGTCCCAGTCAAATATGTCTGCCTTCTCTCAAGTGTTCTCTCACCCATCTATGGGAAGCCCTGCTACTGCTGGATTAGCACCAGGTAAGTTGAGTAACTGTTTCCAGTGAGTTCCAGATATCAAACCTGTAAGCACCATTTGCTTTTAATTTCTCAAAACTGAAGCTATATACTTGAATGATTCACAATTTTGAACACGTTATGGATTTTATGTTCTTGTTTTTGGTACCATAGGCCAAATTTATACTTTAAAAATTTAAAGCAAAATTTTAGAAAAAAATACCTGGACACTGGTGTTTTCCTATTTCTTAAAGTCAATGACAGTGCTGTTTCACACAGAAACTTCTGTTGAAGTATCTGAAATAGAGGGACTGTTAAAGCATAGGTATGCTTCAAAATCCTCCTTTTGTATTAAATTCCTAAAAAAATAATCTATTTCATTTTAAATACGTCTTTAGCTGTATCGCCTTTCAGATGTTGGAGTACTGTATAGAATAGTAGAAAAGAAGTGTAAAACACTTCATTGTGTAGGGAAACAGTACTTCCTAATCACGCCTTCCAAGTTTACTCATAATGGCAGAAGAATTTGAGCAAATGCACTTATACCCCAGGGGCCCTGAGGCATAGTTCAAAGTGACCCTGTGAGAGACCAGTGGTTCTTTGAAGTCCCCTCTTTTATCTTAAAAACTCTTGCAAATTTTGTGTTCTACTCCATAACATACGTCCTTATTTTAATATAAAAAATATTAAAATTACTTAGAGAATTCACATCACGCATCCCTATTGCCATGTATCTTGATTAGAAAGGTAAGCTATGTGAAACCATGTTGAATACATAGTAAATGCTGAGCAGTTTGTAAAATAATTGAGTTGCCCACACAGTTTATTTTTCTAGAACCTGTACTAGAAACCCATTACTTGGTCTTGGACATTTCAAAAAACAAAAATAAAATGAAATATTATGCACATGAAAAGAAAGCCAAAAGATCTGTCTATATAAGCCTGAAACTACTGCTGTGTCTAGGGCTTAATCTAATAAGTAAATCATTCATTTTGATACTGATACCTAAATCTAGGACCTTTTAGGAAGAAGAATGAAAGAAGATATTGGTAACATAATGGAACAGGACATCTGGTTTAGCATATAAAGTATCAAGTGTACTCAGAGGCTCAGTAACCTTGTGTTGCTAAGGATTTTATCAGTGCCTTCTTTTACCCACCCCTCTCTCAACTTCTCATCTCCCTCCTTACCTCCTCTTCTCTTCTCATTCCTCCCAACCCGTTGCGCCCTATACGTACCTTTTCCTTAGTTTTGCTCTTTTCAGGTTCAGTTAAATTTGTAAACATTTCCCCTTCTTAGAGGGCAGTGTCAGAATTGAATATCCTCTTGTAGCCTAAAGTTTACTTGGAAGTAATACACTACTATGATTTTTCTCCCACTGAAGTGTGTTCACATTGTTTGCATGAGCACAGTCTACATGTCAGCTATACATTTAGTATTTCTTAAAGATTGTCCAGACTTCTGAGCAGTGTTTTACTTTACCTTTATGTGTCTGTTTATAAAGCATTCACAATAAAGGGATCCATATGCCAGTCAGAAAACTTAGGTTTTCTGAATTAAGTACCAGTTTATTTTGGCCTAGCAACACATCCTCCCTTGTTTGAAAATTAAAATATTTTCACATATTTTGTCAGGCTAGTTCAGGCTTAACATTTCAAAAATTACCCTTTTTAAAGATCGGTGGAGTTAAAAATGTTAAAGGGAATTTTAGATCTTGAAGACATTTATTTAAAAAATCCACTGATGGCTTTAGAATTTTTTAAAGCTTTTCAGTCGGTACTTGTGGGTAGGTAAGGTTTTTCAGTGGTCCCAGTTGGACATCACAATTTAAATTTAGGGTGAAAATAATTAATTTAAAAATTAAATCAGCTGAAAAATGATTTACTCTTCTACATAGCCCTAACATTAAAATGGTCATTCTACTTTCTGTTAATGAAGATAATTACTCTCTGGAACCATTGGAAATAGGTCAGTATATATCATAGTATATGTGTTCCTGAATTCTTTATAAATACTACTTCAGAATTGTTCTTCATTCAAATAACAATCAACTAAGCTAAAATATTTCTCAAAAATAGTAGAATGATAAATGGTTTTACATTTACTATTTCACCATATTTTTTCCTTTTAGCTAATGACTTAACATTCTCTGGAGATGAGGAAAGAAAAAAAAAATTAAGTCTACCTTACTTTTAAAAAACCAGTTTACCAATAATAGTTTGTTTTCAAAGATATAATAAAATGACATGACAAGAAGAGACTTAAATTATTTTTTCTTTTTTTTTTTTTTTTTACCCCTTCCATATCTTTCGTCACTTCTTACTCATAAATGTCATTCTTTTTCAAGGACTGGGAAAGATTCTGAAGGTTCCACTTTAAAGTTGTAGAATAAAGCAGTAGAGTTTATAGTAGAACTGCCCAGTACACTTTCCAGGGAACAGCTGGTGGATTCGAACTGCCAACCTTTAGGTTAGCAGCCGAGCTCTTAACCACTAGGCAACCAGGGCTCCTTACCTATCTTGATTTAATTTGTCTTTAATGTTTCTTATCTACTGTAGATGTAACTCATTGATCGCTTTCAGCTGTAGAATTTTATTGTCTCTTTTAACTTGATTTCTATTCTAGAAATTATTGCCCTTGATAATGTGTCAAATTACCATCTTTCTAAAAAATATGAAACCTTAAATATTTTGGCACTGCTATGTAAACTAGAGTATGTCACTTTTATTATATATGGAAAAATGCATATCTCAATATATTTTGTGACCAAAAATGTAAAAAATATTTGAGGAAAGTTGGGTTCATATTAAGATTTTGGATGTCCTCAGAATTGTAAGGTACAGAAGCAGCACAATGACTGGCATAAAGTAGGTCCTGCGTGAATCAAGTTCCTTTTTTAAAAATTTGTTTTGATCACTTAAAAAAAATACAAATCATGTTTTTATTGTATAAGTTTCAGCGCAGGAAGTAAAACTTTATACGGAAGTTATTTGAATTAGTTTATAGCTAATTAGATTTAAAGGCATTTAAAATGGATAAAGTATGCAGCATGTGTTAGTGTCTGTTGAATTGTACACATAGCCATTTATTCCGTTTCAGTTTAAGAAATCAAAGAACAATGAATTTAGTTGTTTTATATACATTTAGTCTAAGAACAAAGCTGAATTCTTAAGTATCTTCTTTCTGCAAAGGTAATTGTTATAAGAATATTTTGAGTATGGTACTTGGGATTCATTGTCTTTGAGAACCTCCTAAAATTATATGCCTATTTTGTTTTTATTTGTAAATATGCTTTTTTCTGTGGGTAAAGCTTGTATTAGTCTCTCAGAGGTTCACAATCCCCCAAAAGTAAAGAACTAGTTGTTTAACACATGCTTAGCAAGATTTATTTCCAGAGTGTGGTATAAGAACGTTTTTAAGTAATATAGTCTGCAGACATATTTTCTAATAGCTCTTGATTTACACTGCGTTTTTAAACAGGTCTCCTGAAATGTATTTGTGACCAAGTATATAAAATGATAGTTTGTGCTTTAATTTTTTGTGCCACAAAAAAAACTCTATCATGAGAATTGCTGACTGTTCTTTCTCATTAGAATTTCGCCATAGAAGTAGACTTAGTAAGTTAAATCTTAGTTACTTTAGATTTATTTACCTCAGTATTAGCAAATTCACACTACCAGAAGGTGTTTGAAAGTGATTTTAAGAGAGGTAACAACAGGAGCACACACTTCTGAGTAGTGTTCTGATGTAACATCTGGTGGTTTAATGCACACTTGTGACTTGGATTTGAGCATCTCTTTTCCACTTAATTGTGTGTGGATACTTGGGAGAGGTAGAGGGGAGTTCTTGACTTCAAAAATGCCACCACTGATTTATAAATGAGAAAGAGAACTTTAAGTGGCTTTTAGCATTTCCAAATATTCATTCCTTCAAGATGAAAACAGCACAGATTTTTGGATAGTTAGCTATGTTTTATTATGAATTATTATGGCAAATTTCAGATGTTTGGCTCAGGGAGGAACATCTAATTATTATACCAAACTTAACATTATTAAATTACTGTATTCATTTATTACATAATTTTGTAGTATTTTTTCTTGCAAAAATTAGTCAAAATACTTATGTTCTTAGATCCAGCTTTTTCAAATACTTAACAGTCATTTCTTATATATTCCTGAGGATGATGGTGTCAAATTGATGGGTAAAGAAAGCTAGTATTCTTTATTTTTTGGCTTGTGCAAGATGTGTGGGAGAAGGAAAAGGAAGAAAAATGAGAAAGTAATACTTAGCATTTTTGTTCAAAAAATAGTAAAGCTTTTTATTAATATTATAGACTATTTAAAAACAGAACCATTTATTTTTGTAATGTTGAAGGGTTTGGGCAAGAAGATCCCTTTCAGTTTTAAAGTTTTGTGCTGAAAAATAGTAAAATTCTATTATTCATTAGTCTATGGTGTTTTCATACCATAGATGAGGAAATGCAGGCTTAATTCATTTAAATTACATAGTAGTTAGCTTATGCAATAATCAGATACGGGCCATTGATCTAGGTGGAATCTTGTGCCTAGTCTAGAGGTAGCCTTCCTGACAGATTGTCATCAAGCCTCTGCTTAGTCATTTACAAAAAGGAATTCATTAGCTAACCAAGGCATCCCAGTCTACATTTAAACAGTATGAATAAAAAGAAAAATTATATTTTATGCTGAACTAGACTCTGTATTGTCTGTCTTCCACCCACTAGTCCTATCTCTTTCCTTTTGTGTCGAGTAGAATAAATCAAAACCTTTTCTACATGACAGTACTCTCAGTTACTTTCTTTTTTAGATTAATTGTGTGTATATGTGTCGATATAACCGTTCTGTTTGGAAGACTAAAAGAAAGGATAGGACAAACTGGGGAAAATGTCACTAAAATTCATAAATTGTATTAGTCTAATAAATCATAAGGGCAGGAACACTGGTGTGGGTAAAATTAAAGTCATAGTTCTGTGTTACTGGTTGTATTTCTACTCTGATACCCAGCT